CCTTTTATACTTAAGGCCTTACATAACCAGGTTAAACCAGAAACACATGATGCGAGCTAGGGTTAGTGTCGCAAAAGAATTTTTAAATTTGTAAACCCTAGTGTCTGCAAGTGCACAGCCGTGCGTTGTACTACTTAGGGTGTCGATCCACAGGGAGAGTTGTGTTTCCTGCAAAAATTTCAAACTGGATTAGTAATCGAAGTCAAAGACCAATGGAGGTTTTTGTGAGATTTTGGTGTCACGATTGTCTACTAAGCTAAACAAGAAATAAAACTAAAGGCAATGGACGAAAACAATAGATAAAAAATGTGCTGGGTATTAGGGTTCATCTCTAGGGTTCATGATCTATGACACAAGGAATCTAGGTAAGGATTTTCTATGAATCTGAAACTAGGATGACACTTATAAGATTAGCCAACTCTCGTCACCCTAATCATCTAATCACTTAATCTCGCTCTCATGCCGGAATAAGATCATGCATTTCAGATTGGAATCCATCTCGGGTTACGTATCCTCCGTAGGTAGCTTTCTTCTCCTACGACGGTGACGTCCATAAGATCCAGTTCAGGTAACCCAGATACATCACTCTCGTGGCTCAGATTCAACCTTGGATCGGATGATGGTTCGCGACTCCAACATGTCGCTTTGAGTAGGAGATGAATGGGAGAATCATCTAAAAACGAAATCTTTTAACCTTAAAAACATAGATGTCATCGATCATGGGGTCCTTTTTGATGACCCTCTTACCCAACAAGGTAACTACTCAGACATGGCTGAGCTTGACAACATCATCATTGATTTTGAAATAAAAAAGCAGCAAAGTAGAAGAGATTGCATAAACTGAATAGATAGATGAAAAGAAATGACAAAGGTTCAAGAGAATAATATCTATCTCTCTAATCTAAACCTAAGAAACAAAAGTTGGATGCCTCCCTAACAACAAGAAAGGAGAACACATGAATTAGGTTCTAAAATACATATTTATAGGTCACCAAGTCTTTCTGGTCATCATTAGGGCTTTCTTTAATGAGAGAATGAGTTGGGTTTGAAAACGGGTCATTGGGCTGTAAATGAAGGTTCACCGCGGTTGGAGGACTCTGAGGCGCGACCAGGATAGTATTCACCGCGGTCACGAGCTCTGGGACCGCGGTGGTTGGCCTATGATGTCCAAACTTCATCCCTTGTCTTGCTTCTTTTGAGAGACTGCAGAACATGTCTTCAATAAATTGGGAATAACTTATGATCCAACCATTGGATTGCATCCAATCTAATTGCATTAGAAAGCTGGTTGTCTCCTCTATCTTGTGTCCAGATTTGAGGTTTCTCAGACGGTAAAAATGTCTTCATCAGATGTGAAACTTCTGACGGCCTTAAATTGATCAAAAGTAGAATTTTCTCCAATTTGTATTGTTTTTGCCTAAGAAACCTGATAAGAGTCTTGAAACTACAAAATGGGAAAACCATGATAAAAGCACTTGAAATTAGTTACAACTTTTGAAATAGCATAAGAAAACACTAGTACAAATACGGTGTTATCAGCTCCCTTAGACTTAAACTTTGTTTGTTCTCAAACAAAACAAGATCCAAGTTTGGAAAAGTATATTTAACAAAAATCACAAGGAACTCAAAATCATCAGAAACCATACTCCTAGACCATTATTAAGCGCAATGCATCAATCAAGGGTAGTCTAGAAAATTCTCACCAAAATACAAGCATAACTAGTCTGTTAATCCGTCGTGCGAAAAACTACACACTTAGACTTCACTTCCAGTCAACTAGCTCTTAACACTACAAGAAAATTGGTTATTGATAACACCAGAAAAACGCATTTTAACGTTACCATAGCAGTTTTAAAAGCGCTCTATCATCGGCCGCGATAATAGGTCGGCGCGATTACATAACGGTTTTTGTGCATGCTATTATTTTTATTTATAACATAGCGCTTTTTTCCCTGCTATATTTAATAATACAATATCATATTTTTTTCGTTATTAGTTTTTATCTGACAGCGTTTTTAAATTGTTATTTACATTTTTGATATGGCATTTGGTTTCTACGATTTATATTGTCACCACCAAATAGTACATATTTTAATGAATTGCTAATTTACATATATTTAAAATCTTAAAATGGTTCACAATATAACAAAGCCAAAGACAAATTTCATTAGCTAAAAAGAGTCTTACAAAGATACAGTCACAAATTTCCATAACAAAGTTCAAGTCATACACTAAATCACAACACCAAGCCACAATTTCACATAACTAGTTTACCATTAGGCCAAGCTACTGTAGTTCCTAAAGCATCAGAAATAAATTCAACTTCTGAACTTGGTCTCCACACTTTAGCATCTCCAATCTTTGATACTTCAACCCATACCTTGCTAGCGTTAGGGCCTAATGAGACGAAGTGGATTGTATCTTCTGGATTACTTGAACAAACTCTGCCTTCTGCAACAATTTGTCCTGAGTTGTTGCAATCCAGCAACGATTTAGAGTTATCGACGCTGCAACTTACACTCTGTGACACAAAATAGATCCAACACATTCATCACAAGTTCATCAACATCAATAACTATTCAACTAAATAGATTACAGGCGGAAGAGTTTACCCCAGGTGATGATTATTTTGTGATGATTTTCGAGAAGGTGGCAGAATCATCTGTATCTTCTGAATAAGCCAGGCAATAAACTCATGTAGTGCATCACCCATCAAATATATCTCACTACTTGGTCTCCACAAATAGGCGTCTTTATTAAGAACTTTCTCAACTTTTACGATTGCTGCATTGGGTCCTAGAGGAATATTGTTGGCTAGTTCTTTCGGATCTGTTGAATACAAACGACCCTCAGCAACAATTACATCCTCCAAATTCCAGTCATAGATCAGGATTTTATCAAGCAATGCCTATACCAATCATAGAAAATAATTTCGTAAGTATTAGCACCCGTAACAGACATTATACAAGTCGTAATTAGTTTGAAAAAAAAACTGAACACATTACCGATGAACCAGCTTTTGGATTTTCAGTAGGAGTGCACACATCATTGTCCAAAATGATTTTTTCAGATGGCCACGCGATTTTGGTATCAACAGCATCGCCAAGTGAGACAATGGTTGTGGTTGGTCTCCACAGATATGCATCTTCTTTGGATACATGTTTGAGAAGGATAGCTGCTGCATTCGGACCAAGCGGAACTAGCCCAATCTTGTATGTTGGTTCAGCAGAACAGAACTCTCCTTCTCTGACAATAACATCATCCATTGAGCACCAATCCAATATTTGACACCTAGTAACTGTTTTGGTAGCATTACTAGCCTCTGACGTATAAACTTTGTCCGACTGTTTAAACAAGAATAAACTTCGTCAGAGTGCTTTGGTAGCACCAAGCAAATAATTGAAAACTTAGCTAACCTTCTTTCCTTTAGCAAGGTCAAGGACAACGTTTTGCAAATGTTCAATCTTGGTGATCAATTCTGCTTGCACTACAAGAAAAAGTGAATATTGCTACGAAAAATTGTGACTAAATTTCTTTGTAATAATGTTGTGACAACTTTCATACGAGATTGTGACAAAATTATTTAGTCATAAAAACGTTACCATTTCGTCATAATATTGTGACCAAATTAAATGTTACAAACTTTTGCCACCAATCGTGACGTAATTGTTACAAAATATATAGTCATAAATATTGTTACTGATTTGTGACCAAATCGAGTAAGTAAATTATACGATTTTTGTGACTAAAATTAAGTCACTCACAGTTACAAATGTTTTGTAAGTATGTCGTCACAATTAGTTATTATTTTAGTGACTTTTGAGTTTGGTCATAGATTATGACATAATTATTACTACTTTAAGACAAGATTAAAATCACACATTTATTTAAAAATAAATAAAAATAGCTTTAATTTGGTAACCACGAAAAAAACAAAATTGATTGAATTTCTTATTCTAACTTTTTTTTTCACAAAACCTTGTATCTGACGAATTGTTGCGGAAAAAAAATAAAGAATGTATATTTGTTGATTTTGAGAAGTCAAAGATGATGTTGTATGTTGAGCATCATGGATCATTAGCATTACTAATCTAATATGCTAGTAAATTTTTAGGTAAGAGTTTATGAACAGAAAAGTAATAAATGTCAAATAACCAATGAGTGAATCAAATATTTTTAGTGCTACTAATAATTGAAATATAATATTTTTTTATGGATTAATGTGTGTGATTTAGGGTATAGATTTGTATTCTTATTTTTATCTCAATTGAAATAAGAAAATGTAAAAAAAAAATTGTTTTATACTAAATACACATAATAGAATAGAAAAAACTATTACAAAATACAAAATAAAAAAAAAGTTAATGAGTGTAGAATTTGGAGTTTAGGGTATAAGGGTATAGGATCGGAAATATATTTTCTATTTTTATTACAAAGAAATATAAAATTTGTTTTGGATTAATGAGTGTCTGATTTGTAAGATATCTTTTTCTATTTTTCAACATAAAAAATACAACAAATTATTGTTTCATAATAAAAAATAAAATAGAATAGAAAAACTATTACCATATATAAAATAAATAAAAAATTAGTTAGTGAGTCTTTGATTTAGAGTTTACGATATGTGATTTGGGGCTTAAAATATAAGGGTATATGGTTTAAAATACATATTTTATTAGTTTTATTAACAATAGAAAATATAATAATTTTATAGATTAATAAATGTTTGATTTAGTGTATAGGATTCACACTTGTAAGAATTATTTTTTATTCCTCAGGCTTAAAAAAAAACGTGCAACAGATTATTATATAAATCATAAAATGGAATAGAAAAGACTATTACAATATAATTATAAGAAGAAAAAGTTAGTGAATATTTTATTTATAGTTTATAGCATATGATTTAGGGTATAAGGTTTAAAATATATGGTATAGGATATATATAGGTTTTGATGATTTAGGGTATAAGGTTTAAAATATATGGTATAGGGTATAATATTTTCTTTCTCCACCATAGATTGCTATTTTCCCATAAAAAAAATATCTATGTAAAAAAAAATGATTAGTCTCCCCAATCTTTTCTTCCTTGGTGGCGATTTACACAAAAAATAGAAACGAAAAAGAATGAAGCCATTAGGAGAGAAGAAGATTTCTCTGGAAGAATACATTGATTTCTCCTACTCTGGAAAGTCCATCGACTTCACCATCTCCTACCTCAATCAGGTTTTTTAAAACGATTTGATTTCCCGTCTGATTCTCCTCGATCGTCATCAGTTTCATACCTCCAACTTGTGCCATCTCTGTAGATCGTTCATATGCACGGTTTCCGAAAGCTGCACAAATGGAATAAGGTAATCACCGATGATCTCTTAAAACCAAAATCCGTAGAAATTGACAACAAAATTTTGGAAATTCCGTCCTCTCCTCCTTCTTCTAAGTTTTTAGCTTTATTGATTTGATCCTTATGGTTATAGGTGAATACAAGATCTTGAAAAAATGGAAACAAAAGACAATATATGCCAGAAAAATTTGGGAGGCTCTTCCTCTTATTCTTCAAAGTTGCGTGAGCTGGTTTCTTCAGACGGAATCCAGACCTTAGGAAGATGCTTCAATCTTGGATTACGAGATGGGTATTAACTATTAAGCCATGTTTACAAGTTTAAGACCAAATAAAAGCTTCTTTGGGCAAAGACAACAACAATTTTGAGATTTCCTGCAAGGCGTTGAAGGTCAAACTTGAGATCCTATGACGATGCTGGGCAACCTGTCCTTTATTCACAAGTTTATATACAAAAGTTGTATAAACTTACTTTTATTTTAATTATGTACGTTTATTTTGTAAGACTGGTCATTTGTATCATGGTTTCATTTATGAAAATAATATAATAAACTATTGCATTTCTGTAATATGTCAATTTATTTGGGGATTTGCAACTAATGTTTCGTAATGACAGAATTAGGACATTGTAATCGTCACGAAATAAAATTTTTAAACTGTTTTTTATTATGTAAGTATAACGAATAAGTAACGATTCCCTAGTCATTATTTGTAATGATATAAGACTAAAGTTTCGTCAAAAATGAATGACAGATTTGAGACATTATAACAGTCATATTAGATATATTCGTCACAACGAATGTGACGTTTTGTTACAAATAAAAATTTGTGATGGCTGTATTGTGACTGTTCAAAAAACCCACAACTCCGTCACAATAATTTTATTGTTACGAATTTTTGCTTATTGTGACAGAATATTTTATAACAATATAGCTATTTTTTTGTAGTGTTGTGTTGCTTCGAGCTTCTGCACATGTGCATCTCTAGCCTGACTGAATGCAAGCTTCGTAGCAGTAACCCCTCTACCCATTCCTCTAAGTCTCCTTGGCTTGTCTTTTCCTAACACTTGACTCACAGCATCCTCTCTAATATTGGTACTAGCAGTTGAACCCATTTCACTATCAATGGATTTGACTTGTTCCTAAGACAAATATTTCAACATATATAATTACCAATCCCTAAACTTGCATTTACTAATAATTCCTATCTCATTTCACTTACAATTGTATCCGCAAATTCTGGTCTCACAGGTCTTCCATCTGAATGAGTGTGTCCTGCTACTCATACTTTACTCCTTGTCACATTGTTAGGGTCGGAACTCTTTTTCTTCTACAAGTAACAAAAAATGTTCAAAACAAGTAAATCTAAATAAGTACACAATACAGTCGACTTACCATCTCATGAGCTAGGCAAATCATTCCTTTGCGGCTAGTGGTGTGGGAAACCTGTGCCCTCCTCAGATCTCTATATCTCTCACTTTGAACCTACGTAAGCAATCCAAGTATTAATATGTGTAACATTTTAAATTAATTATGACACTAACATGATTAGTTAGACATACAGTACCTTAAACTCTTCACTGGTCCTGCTCTTAACCCAATTTTCCATGCTGAAACAGATTAAATGTTACTCAGTTTTAGCTCAAGTACTTGTCGCTTATTGGAATTGCTCAATTGGGAAACGAGCCTAGAATTCGAAAACCTCCACAAACAACCCATATGCTTCAACACAGATTCCTTTTGCCAATCTTCATTTAAATTAAACCTGCCCTGAAATATGTGGAAAAGATAAACGTAAGTTAGATAATCTAAAATACTTTTAATCAGTGAAATTCTTTGTTTAGGATACATAGAATACCTGAATTTCCTCCCACAATATGTCTTTGTTATGATCATTCAAGTGCCTCCAATCATCAAGTAGTACTGCTACGTGCTCTCTCACCAGCGGACCAAGAAAGGAGGAAAGAGTGATTGATCCTTTTCCAACATGTTCACCAAGATTTTTGAATTCAACTTCTACCTTATCCTCATGGTGTTTTGCAACTCCATGCATCTTAGTTGGCCCTCTGGTTTTCCTTTTCTTGTTATTTGCTTCTTGTGTTTGATCATCTACAGTTGACTGTTGCACAGGTTCTTTATGCACCTGCTGCGGTGCATCTTCATCATGAACTGCTTCGTCATCTACAGTTTGCTCCTCTGCTTCTTCGTGATGTGAAGTTTCTTCATCAACCTGACGTGAAGTGTCTTCATCTACCTGTTGTGAAGTGTCTTCGCTGTGATTAGGTGCTTCTGGTTCGGTTGGCGTATTACGTCTGGTACTGGTAACCTGTTCGACGTCTGGAGCAACTCCTAATTGGCGTTTACTACGTCACCGCATGGTTGGATCCATAGTCTTCAACAGTATCTAAAACCTGAAACACAACTAGCTTTTCAGATAATTTAAATGAAAAAGTGAATATAATCAATCCATTACTAAGACCCCTTCACAATCATCTCTAACATAGAAACTCTCGTCATTAGAAGACTGGTCCCCTATATCTTCGCTATTAGCAACAGTCAAAGGCAGAACAACAAACTCACAACAAACTCTTCTTCCATCTCTAACTCCTGATACCCTCGTGGTGGTGCCTTTATAACTACTGACCAAGGTGATGAATTGTCTTCTCTACAGTAAAAGACCTGTTTTGTTTGAGATGCCAGAATATAGGGATCATTAAGATACTCTGACTGGTTGACATTGAGGTTAACCAGTGTAAATCCTTCTTCTTCCTTTAAACTGTTACCCTTATTGGCCCACTTACACTTGAATATAGGCACCTGAAACATATGGTAGTCTAGCATGATGATCTCTTGTATAGATCCATAAAACGCAACCATATCCGCCATATGTCTAGTATCTCTGACACTAGATCTACACATGCTGAAAGCTTCGTAGGTTACACCACTGTTCTGATTCTTACGCTTTACATCCTCAGTGTGAAACCGATGCCCGTTAATGATAAACCCCTTGTATGTTTGAGCAATGTTTCGTGGTCCATATGCCAACCATCTCAGCTTAGACAAGTGATCTTTCGAGTTCGCAGGGATCTAAAGGATTCAGAAAACAAAAAAAAAAAAAAAAACACAAAAGTAGAATGTTTAAAAGTTCTACAAATCATGATGGTAAGAATGCATATTTGTTTAGCGTAATTTACATACCTTTTCTTTTACCCATTGCGAGAATCTCTCTGAATGTAATTTCCATAAAATAGTTTCACTCCTGTGACATCGAGCATCCTTAGATTGCAATTCTTCCAAATGTATACTGGTATACAATATGAGTGAGTTAGTGATGACTATTGAACAGAATTTCATTGAATGAAAAAATATAAGTGATGAGATCATAAATTTACTCTACATATGGATTCATTACAGCCATATTCATCAAGACATATCTATGTGCTATGTCTCGCTCTTTATTACTAAGTAAGACCTCTTCTGCCTTCATCAATGGGCGACCTTCAAGTATGCTTTCACATGAATCCAAATATTCATTACGGTTTATGTTTTCTTGCACCGGTACAGAATTCTGTAGAAACTCCAAACAGAATGCAATACATTCGCCAGCCAAGTATCCTTCAGCCATACACGCTTCTGGCCTTGTGTAGTTCTTGACATAAGACTTTAGCGTTTTCATGTACCTATAGGTGAATAATACATTCGATCAGTAGACTATATAATACAAACGTGGAATGAAAAACAACCCTTCATCAAACAGAGATGATTACGTTTCGAATGGGTATATTCACCTAAAGTGGACAGGCCCACCCAAACGTGCCTCCCTTGCTAAATGTATGGGTAGATGGAACATTATATCAAAAAGCGATGGAGGAAAATACCTCTCAAGTTGGCAAAATGTCTCTACACATTCATTTTCCAATAATATGAGCTTCTGCGGATCAATTACTCGCTGACACAATCTGCTGAAGAAGTTGCACAACCTAATAACTGCAATCCTCGGTCCACTTGGTAGCAGGTCTCTCAAAGCAAGTGGAAGGAGGTTTTTCAGAAGCATGTGGTGGTCATGGGACTTCAATCCACCTATTATAGGAGGATCCACTGAAACACAGTTAGAGATATTTGAAGAATACCCATTAGGCCCTCTGAATAGGCTTAACCTCTTGCAGAATCTCTTTTTCTCTTCCTTCGACAGCCAATAAGCAGCTGGAGGTAAGTAGATTCTCTTCCCTCTGATCTGAATGTGTAAGTTACTTCGAATACCTATATCTTCCAAATCCTTTCTTGCTTTAAGACCATCTTTCGACTTAGCAGTTTGCATCAATATAGACAAGATTGCATCGGACACGTTCTTCTCCACATGCATAACATCAATGTTAGAAATGTAATTACTGTGTATGTGATATTAATTCTATAAGGTAAAGTTAAAGGCCTTACCTTCCAGTACGGTAAATCAAATATAATGGACCGTTTCTTCCACCTCCAGGTATGTGTATCTTTTTCGTTTTCATCATCTAAAATCACCTCGTCATCTGCTTGTGCGGTTTTTCTTTTTCGTTTTGTTTTTTTTTCCAAGGGTTTTCCAAAATCATTTCTGAAATCTCACAGTGTCTCAAATATTTCTCTCCCGCTTTGAATTCTACTTGCTGTCCCTTCTTCAACAGTGTTGTCAACCCATTCTTTCCTCTTCTATATGGATGGCCAGGCCGAAGCCTCTTTCTATTTCCCAAATACACATGCTTACGACTGAATTTTTAACCACCTAAATGGTGTATCCTTACCACAGACAATGCACGCTTGTTTCCCTTTCACTTTACACCCAGCCAAAGTCCCTAATGATGTATAGTCAGTGATACTCCACAGCAAGATTTCTTTCAGTGTAAACTCTCCTTCATGAATGAGTCGTAAACCATAATGCCTTCATTCCACAAATCCATCAGATCATCTATCAATGGAGCTAGATAGACATCAATATTGTTGCTTTGTGCTGTGGGTCCAGGTATCAACAAAGTCAACATTATATTCTCTGACTTCATACACAATGTTGGATGCATGTTGTAGTTAACTAGTAAGACCGGCCATGTGCTGTACTTGGTATTTTGAATGGAGAACGGATTCATCCCAGAAGTGGAGAGACCGAGGCGGATGTTTCTTGGTTCTGCAGAAAACTCTGGCCATTTATCCTTCACAGTGGACCAAGTTATAAAGTCTACCAGGAGTCGCATGGTACCGTCTGAACTCGCATTGTTGAAATGCCAACGAACATCTTCTGCATTCCTCTTTGATCTGAACAATCGCCTAAGTCTATCTTTGATTGGAAAATATCTGAGCACCTTACATGGAATTCCTTTTTTTCCTCGCCTGTATGCTTATCCCTTTCCCATCTTGAAACACTACACCTTGGGCAGCTATCCATATCCTTGTACTGTTTCTGATAGAGGATACAATCATTCTGGCATGTTTGGATCATGTCATACCCAAAACCAAACAGTTTCAAGAATTTCTTCATCTCATCTGTTGATCTCGGAAGAACATTGTCTAAAGGAAGCATATCATGAACTATAGTGAGAAGC